TAAGATCAAATAATTTGTGCGAATGTTAGAATGTACCTCATTTCATTTTTCATACCTTACCTTTGATGACCCTAGATTATGCTTACAGAACGAGCTGAAAATTTTCGGCCTGATGGTTACAGCCGAAAACATCGCGGATGCAAACGTCGCGGAGAAAACAACGCAAGGCGAAAACGTCAGCATACAAAACATCGTGGGAGAAAACGCAAGAGAAAAAAACATCGTGGTACAAATATATCTTCGTCGAAACTAAAGCGGTTCAAAAAAACTTCGCAGTTTAAAAACATCGCTGTCGAAAATATCGTAGTAAAAAAATAAAGAATCTACAAATCATCGCATGACGATAAACATTGCAGATATGCTTTTTTTCAGGCTTTAATAACTGTAAATGGATATTCGCGTAATGATTTGTGAGCGAAGGATGGAAGAAGGATAATTTTTACTTTCATATTTTTTATTAACTAATAAATGCTTGCTGAGAAAATAAGAAGGAAACTTCAGCATAGAAAATTAATGCAACTGATAGTACTTAATAGAATTTTAAACCGACATAGTTAACTAACAAAGGCCATTTAAAGTTTTTACTGGTAATTTTTCATTAAAAGTATAATCTATAAATTGCATTTAATTGGGAATAAGAAGTATAATGGTTATGAATAGTGAAGATTTCATAGATTAAAATGATTGGAGAGGTAATAAAGAATAAGAAGATATTAGTATTATATATATAGCCGACATTAATAATTAAAAAATGGAAATTAATATTACAAGAATACGAAAGCGTGCCAGGCGGCTTCCAGGATAATATAATATTTTTCATCTAATTTTTCAATTTGAAGCTTTTCCTATATATGTTATGTGTTGTATTCAGTGTCGTTAAATATAACATATACAGGGGTTGGACAAAAATATGGAAACACCTTTAAAAAAACATGTTTCTTTGCTTAATATGGTGTAGGAAACCCGTCGGCATCCAAAACAGCTTGCAGTCTTTCGGAATGAATAAATACAGTTCCTGTATGTTTGCCAAGGGAATTTATACCCATTCTTCCTGCAAAACGGTGGCAAGTTCAGATAACGATGTTGGCGGTGGATAACGAGAACGCACTTTCCGTTCCAATGTAGACCACAAAGGTTCGATAATATTCAGGTCTGGTGACTGTGGTGGCCAGGGGAGATGGGACAACTCATCCTCGTGCTCAGAAAACCAGTCCTGGACAATGTGAGCTGTGTGAACAGGGCTTTGTCGTCTTGGAAGACACCCTCACCATCGGGGAACAAAGTTTGTACCATGGGATGAACTTGATCGGCCAAAATGTTCACATAAGTCTTGGCAGTCATGTGCCCTGACACAGTTATCATGGGGCTAGCAGAGAACCACGATATGGCTGCCCAAACCATAACAGAACCCCCGCCATGTTTCACTCTTGGCAACAAGCAGTCTGTATTATAGGCTTGAGATGGCGTTCTCCAGACGTAAATTCGGACAGAAGTGGGAAACAATGTGAAAGAAGACTCGTCAGACCATATTACTCGCTTCCACTGCTCTATAGTCCAGGCTTTATGACTTAAACACCACCTTTTCCTGTTACGGGCATTAGCATCACTGATGAGTGGCTTCTCAATTGCAGCACGGCCAGCAATTCCCTGGTTATTAAGCTCTATTCTAATTGTTTTGATACTCGCAGGGTTCGGTAACACAACATTTATTTCAGCAGTAACATTTGCAGCTGTGGTCTTCTTATTTTTTGTCACAATTGCCCTTAATGATCGTCTGTCACGATCACTCAGGACACACTTTCGTCCGCGCTGTGATTTAGCAGATCATGTTTTTCCGCTTTTCAAATATGTGGAATAAATCTTCGATACAGTACCTCTTGAAACACTAAACACCTCGGCTACCTTGCTTACGGAAGCACCTACCATACGTGCTCCAACAATTTGTCCGCGTTCGAAGTCTGTTAACTCTGACATAATGCAATGACAACCTCACATAACAGTACTCCGACAACAACTGAACTGTTTAGCACATTTACGAAGTTGTATAGGTGGCATCAGTAGTCAAAAATGCCAGCGCCACCTCCATATTTCATTAAAATCAGTCTTTCTTTCAAACATGCATTTCACAAGTGTTTCCATATTTTGTCCATCCACTGTATTAACACATGCCTGTAAATATTATTCATTCTTTAATTTTAGATACATTTAAGGTATAATTAAGTATTTTTTTATTAAAGTATTTTAAAATCTATTTCACAACATGTGTTTGAATTTTTATTTTTTAATTCATTTTTTCTAACCTGCTTAATTTTTTTAATTACGAGCTAGTATCAAGAAATGGTTGATTTACTCTGTTAGAACTAAAAGTGTCTGGTATTTTAATATTTCAAAATTTTACTAAAATTTTAAAAACAAACGCTTTTCATATAATCAAATACTAATTATTGTATTTGTTGCGTTGAATCCGAATTTCTAGATTTTTACTAAGCCCAAACATCCATGTCAGCATCCTGTGTGAAAATCTTTGTTCTTAATCCAAAATACAGCACAATACCTGCAAGCAAAGAGTTGACGAATAAGATTAGAAATTAACAACAGTGGTACGTCATATATAGATAAACTACTATATTATCCACAATGGAAAAAAAAACTGACGGAAAGCTTTCAGAAGCATATTACGCCCTAAAAGGGCTTTATTAAACACCATGTTCTTCGCAATTAAAACACATAAAATTCAATTCAACAGCAATATCACAAAACATTTTAAAAACAGCATATCTTTAGAATTTCCGATACACAGTCTCGCGCGCTGAAGATAATTTTTTTTTCACCTGTACAGTGTTGCCATTGTTCGCTTTCAAGTCGTTGAGTTTGTTAATCAAAATTTTGTTAAAGTTTAATAAAATGTGAAATGGATAATAAAACAAATTCGAAATTTAAAATTCGAGCTCCTAAGTTCCCATGTTCGGTTGGAGGACTACGTTTGATTCAGAATTTGATACTGTTTTTTCACAATGTGAGAAATATACATCATGCGTATTTAGTTTAATTTATTTAAATATAGTGCATGGGCGATAGTATTTGGTGGCAACAGTTTGAAAAGTGAAACTACGCAAAATGTCATTTTGAGACTGAAAGGCATTTGGGTCTAATGCCTTATTTAGCTAAAAATTATTTTGAAAGGAGAAAGCAAATTTCTAATCTTAAGTTTCAATAAATCGTTTTGTGCCTTAGATGATTCATGCACTATTAGAATACAGGTAGCGCTTTTCCCAGGTTACATTTTTCAGTTAGACACACAGCAGCATATTCCTCGGTTAGACAAAACAGAAATGTCAGATAACTGAATGCGCGTTTGATGAGTAACCTCGAAAAGTACGAGATGCTAGATTATATTATATATCATAAGATTATGAAAAAGTGCACTGTCTGTCCAAGGAGAGGTATCTTTCGGGAAGGACTTCCAATAGAAACTTGTTGAAAAAAAAAACATAAAACTCAAATATAATCAGTTTCTTCCAAACGGTTATGAGCACGGGTCGAAAAGCAGTTTCCAGCGGTGATATCCGTTCAGCTGCTAGTAGATTGCAAAGTGTTAGATGTCCATATTTGCAGCCTTCGTTTTATGCCTTTTAAAGTTATACATAAAAAAGTACATTCGGTATACAGCACGTCCCCAATTATTCCAAAATTCGTACATGTTCATTACCAGATTCTTATACATGAATGTACTTTCCAAAACGTTCATGCATGTTAATTGGGAAATAAGATAAAGCCATTCCTCGAACCGTCAGCTTAATGACACAATGAGTCCTCCCCCCCTCTCCGAACCAGGCCCAGGGTTCAACTCCTGTTCTCGTATCTTGGAGAGACTGGCGCCATCGCACCTAGGGCAACACAAGCCCCAGGGAGACAATTGTCGTCTATTTCTATTACCAGTTATCTATCTACCAGTTTCTTGAGGTCTACGACGTGCCAGACCCACGGCCTGACCAATAAGTGATCTTTCAGGGGCCTTTAGAACCACTTGGTTTGCAATTTGTATACCCCCGTGGCCTAGATTGCCTAGGTACAGATTCTAGTCAGTAGCTTCGCAGAATTCTCTACATCGACCCCTAAGGGTCCCATAACTAAGGGATAAATATAAAGCTCTATGTAGTCAATTCTTTTAAGAAGCATTTGAAATATAGATTTTGTTTTACAGGAGTGCTCTTGTTTCAAGTTTCACCATTGCTATATCCAAGAATATGTATATAAAGAAGGAAAACTTCCATAGACGTGGAGTAAACCTGTATATCGTGAAAGAGCAATCACCCAATCGTCAAATGAACAGGAAATTGAGGAATACGGTACAAATTCGAAGGATTTATAGGATTCGTTCTTTGACAAAAAATGGGGGGGGGGGGGGGGGGGGGGGGGGGGGGGGGGGGGGGGGGGGGGGGGGGGGGGGGGGGGGGGGGTTTGCGATAGGGGGGGGGGGGGGGGGGGGGGGGGGGGGGGGGGGGGGTTTGGGGGGGGGGGGGGGGGGGGGGGGGGGTGGGGGGGGGGGGGGGGGGGGGGGGGGGAGGGGGGGGGGGGATTTAAACTCGGATTTTCGTTTTCGTAGATTTTATTAGTCAAAATAAATAATCTATTAATTAATGTGCTTCCTCTGATCATTGATTTCATTTATGTCGATACGGCGGGAGGAAAAACGGTATAACAGAAGTTTTAATTCTTCTATGAATGTGACTTTCGAACATGGCTCGAAAAATATTTCGAACATGCACGAAAGGTTTGACACCGGTTCCAGAACTACTATTTCGCAAATTAAGGCTGGATGGTCAGCCCTGTTTCCCCTCTGAGGTCTGAGGGAGCCACCTCTACTTTATCGAAGTTTTCCTTCTTAAGATACATATTCATTGACTAAACTACAAGGATGGTATTAAGTGATAATTTAATTTTGAAAAGTGATAGGTTACTATATGATTTTTGTACAGTGACTATACTTTATATTTTAGCTCCAGCTGGTTGGGTTCAACTATTACTTCAGGAAGAAAATCTCCTTATTGTCGCAGGGGTCGCAGGAGCTATAGGAATTTTACTAATTATTCTTTTAACAACTGCTGTGGCCATCGTCCTTAAACGCCGCATGAAAGGTAAGAATATTTTATTTCTTTATTTGATAACGTAAGTTAATATTTAAATTTGTTTCAAATATACTTCTAATCGTAAGAATTATTCAATGAAATTGAATAATAATAACATTTCATCACTTTTTTGTCGTATTAATATTTCAGTGCTGTATTTTACAATCAGGATTCATACAAAATTTTAATGTAAAATAAACCGTTAAATATTGGGAAAATGTGTTAATTTTTTTTAAAGAAAGAAAGAAAACATCTTTTTACTCATCATCAGTGGAATTTTGCAGTGGGACTTCGTACTAGAATAATAATAGCTATAATTATGATTAGCATAAATTAAACAATAACCCCTTTCTTTCATTATATTTTCTGATATTATTCAATTTACACGTTTCAGCATAATTTAGGAGAACAATATATCATTTAATGCTAGAATTAAGCCTGTAACATGTTATCTCATTAAAAAGGAAATTAACTAAACGTTATCCGAAACTAGCTTTTAACCATTAACCTTTAAACCGTGAACCGTTGTCCCTCAGCCCTGAACATAACTTGAATCTTCGAAAAACATTAAAAAAACTCTTATTATATTAATTTAAAGGACTACATCACTGGCTTTCCAACTTTGTTCCCCGGAACCCCGAAATTCCGAGCGTCAAAATACAAATTCCAATGTAAATTATAAAGCACTCAAATCAGTTGACTAGTATTTATTAACTAAGAAGTTAACAGATACAATTAGTTACTGATAGAAGTAATAAGAATGCTAAGAAAGAAATGTATACCAAGAAACGTATACTATACAAAAAAATGTATACTACAAATAAATCTTAGAATAATACAAAGAAATGTACAGGTGCATTTAGTTACAGATAAAAATAAAAATTCGAAAGCAAATTATAAAGCACTCAGATTAGTTGACTAGTGTAAGATTGCTGGAATGCCCCCCAACCACCTGATCACGATCCTTATAATTTTAAACCTTATACCTTATAATCTTAAAGGGGAACCCCATAAAACTAAAAATAACTATCTAAGAAAAATATATGAACTAGTGTATATTAACTAAGAAATTATGTATAGATACATTTAGTTACAGATAAAAATGATAAGAATACTAAGAAACGTATATAAGGTATTTCTTCCGCCTTCTTGGCGTGTCTTCGTGGTGTGGTGGTCTGCACCCTCGGCGCGCGTTGCCGAGGTCCGCAGTTCGATTCCCGACGAAGGCTTTGCTCATTTTTCATCTTGCCTGCTTCCGAAAAAAATCATAATGTCTCTACACGTATACTATATAAGAAATTTATACTATAAATAAATCTTAAAATAATACTAAGAAATGTATCGATACATTTATTGCGGATAAAAATAAAATTCGGAAGTAAATTAAAAAGCATTCATATTAGTTTATCAGTGTTTATTGACTAAGAAATATAAAGATACATTTAGTTACAAATTAGTTTTAAAACTTAACATGTCGTCATCATAAGTCAAAAAGTATGATGGGCAATGCTTTGCCAAAATAGTTTTCGAATGAAAACTAAATTACATTTAAATGACACTGTTAAAAATTATATATTGGAACATCTTTTTAGTTGAAGGAAACTATAAAGGAATATTTCTTAAGAAACAGCTGAGTATGACTGGAAGAAAAGCCTGTTCGAGTACTACGATAAATCAAAAGGCTTGCCGATGAAGGAAAGGGAACAACACATATCAGACGACATATCAGCAGATTCGATATTAAAATCTAAATTTAAGCAAGAGCAACTCATAAATTTTGGGTTTCAGGTTTCATGCAGTGTACCCAGATGTTATTTACACAGTTATAAGCATTTTAATGCCGTCGCAACAAAAACAAAATAAATGCAGAATATGAAATGATAACAAATTAAACGCAGACTATGAAATGCACTGCAGATAACATTAACAGAGTTTAACAGTTTTGTGCAAAAAATACAAGCACACTCCTGTCAATATCATGCAAGAACAGGAGTTAATGCTATTAATGAATAAATTAAATTAAATTTATAAATCTTTTACTAAAAAATGCAAGTAGTATTTATAGCATATTGATCTACTCGAAATGTTAATTTAAGATAGATTTTTAAAGGTTGGATGGTGTTTCCCCAAAAAACCTTGCACTGCTGAAGTTTTTGGGAGTCGACAATGTTTGAAGACTTTGTCGACTCCCAAATGTGGGATACATTATTCTTACAAGCCTAAGAAGACATTCGATGAATTCATTTTATAAACTATGAATAATATAACTGAAGCATGAACAATAATAAAGGTCAATGCAAAATTTCTTGGAAACGTGATTTTTTTTTTCGTTACCATCATCGATAAGCATAAAAATCTCACAATACCTTCAATTATATCTTTTAGGTTTAGAGATCTATTTGCTGAGACCTTACTATCATCGATAAGCATAAAAATCTCACAATACCTTCAATTATATCTTTTAGGTTTAGAGATCTATTCGCTGAGACCTTACCATCATCGATAAGCATAAAAATCTCACAACACCTTCAATTATATCTTTTAGGTTTAGAGATCTATTTGCTGAGACCTTACCATCATCGATAAGCATAAAAATCTCAGTATACATTCAATTATATGTTTTAGGTTTAGAGATCTATTTGCTGAGACCTTACCATCATCGATAAGCATAAAAATCTAACTATACCTTCAATTATATGTTTTAGGTTTAGAGATCTATTTGCTGAGACTTACCATCATCGATAAGCATAAAAATCTCACTATACCTTCAATTATATTTTTAGGTTTAGAGATCTATTTGCTGAGACCTTACCATCATCGATAAGCATAAAAATCTCACAATACCTTCAATTATATCTTTTAGGTTTAGAGATCTATTTGCTGAGACCTTACCATCATCGATAAAATCTCACTATACCTTTGTAGGAACCAGCGCCAAGTTCTGACTCCATAAATAATATTATCCATATATATCGTTTTGAGATTGCGTAGTACTTACTACATGTTTTGAATTCAGGACATACTTATTACAAGTACAAGAAGCTCTTTGCATATATATATAATTCGTGGAAAGCATAGAATAATTATGGTAGTGAAGTATAGTCCTCGTGACGTGAGGAACCTGCTAACGAGGGTCTCTCTAGTCGAGAGTTCAAGAGCATTCTGACGTGTTGTTCCGATGGAAACAATCTACAGACCTCCTTAATTTTTAACCACGCCTTCTTAATTTTTAACCACGCCTTCTTAATTTTTCAGTAGTATTTTACATTCTCTGAATCGTTATATCTGGAAAGATATTAGAGAAAAACAAGATCATTGGTTCCTCAGCCTTCCTGAAATCGAGAGGCTTTGATGACAGACACAGTGCAGAATGCTAAAATCTTTGATACTGGCCGTGAAGTTATGTCTCTCGTACTGTCAACTGGAACGACTTATTGCGTCTGCGATGTCATACTATGTACTGTGACGCATCGCAGAAGCTTGAAAACAGTGACTTTCGGTGACCGCACACACGATTTTCTCATCTCTTTGTGGTCCGCCGCACCTTCATATAAGTCTTATGTTTAAAGATCTATTTGCTGAGACACTACCATAATAGATAAGCATAAAAATCTCATATACATCCAATTAATTCTTTTATGTTTAGAGATCTATCTGGTAAGACACTAACATCATCGATAAGCATAAAAATCTCACAATATCTTCAGTTAAGTCTTTTATGTTAGAGATATATTTGCTGAGACACTGGAAGCTAATATGGGCTGAACAATAATTGAAAATATTCTTACCAACAAATATAAAATCCGTTTGCTCGACTGAAATGTATGCATATCAGATTAAAATCTTGTATTTCAGACTTATTGCCTGCATTCTTAAGTATCCTTACCTGCTTGTTTAAGTATAAAATTAAGATCTTTAGGCTAACATCTTTGTAAAAGGCATATTAATTGTGGAATTGAATTATTAGAGTTACAGCAAAGCACGCAAGGGCTAACTACCCAAACGACAAAACATCTGCGTGAAGGATGTTTTAAAGAAGTTGTATTCAAATTCTGGATTATACTGGATCGTATTCATGTTACACGTAGAGAAAACCTCGAAAATTTGCCATTTGCCAGGATTCGAACTCGTGTCGAATACCAGTGTTCAGAGTTTTTACCATCCAGGGGCTGGTATATTGTTAACGATTGAGAAATTTTAATTAGTGAAGACAATTAATTTAATTTAGATGTATATCATTTGTTTCTTCATTTTAATTATTTCTAATTTAAGCACTATTCATTTGCTCTCCGAAAGCCATTTGATTGCGATATACGTATAATCTCGCCGGCCCGTCAGCGGCCGAGCGGAAAAATCCTTAAAGGTTGGTAGTTCGGTTCAAATGAATCTTGCGAACTGGCTGGCTACATGGGCATTTCTGTTGGTTTTCCCCATGCATAACGTGTTAATACGAGCCAGTTACCCTTAGAAAGTCCTGCACGAAGGCATATTTCCCTTCCGTGTGGTGCCTTAGTGCGGAATACGTAAACAATAATAATCTTTATATATATAAGCGACTAAAGTGTGTGTCGCCGATAGTTTATTGTTGCCACTCGAATAAATGAGCGCAGAAATTAACGCTTCCGCAGTTTTTAATTAATATCTCAAAAGATTAAAGTCGTACGAAGATGAAAACGGTATCGATGGATTTGGAAAATTTTTTGGAATCCGAGGATAGGCGTCTCGAATTTCAATTCGGCGCCGTTCCGTAGATATTCGAGAAAAAAGAAATTTGGCACGTAGCCAAATCCCTCTAATAGGAAAAACCCAAGAAAAGAAGTGGAAAATGTAGGGGAAAATTAATTTTTAATTAATATCTCGGCTATTTAAAGTACCAAGAAGACGCGAATGGTCCAAATGGCGTGCCACGGACCTGCGGAATCCAACGGTATGCTTCGCTAAGCCGAGAGCCAGCCGTTTCGGAGGAGATGATGTTACTTCAGCCCATATATATATGCGGCTTAAGTGTTTGTTTGTCGCCAATAGTTTATTGGTTGCTTGCGTAACTGTATTAGCCAATGAGGTGAAGTTGCCCCGGCACAGGGTTGCCGTTTCAATTGAGACGTAGACAATTTCCTGTAAAACTTGCCTTTGCTATGACCATCCATAAGTCTCAGGGCCAAACGCTTAAGCGTGTTGGCATTTTTTTCACCTGAGCCTGCATTTGGACACGGTCGACTTTATGTTGCCTGTTCAAGAGTTCGTGAAAGAACGGACGTAAAATTAAAAATAATGGATGGTCCTCTGCAAGGCGAGCTTAAAAATGATGGAAAGATCTTCACAAGAAATGTTGTGTACAAAGAGATCTTTGACATGTGAGTTAACATTTTATTATTTAAATCACCTTTATTTATTGAGCCTAGCAGTGGGCTCTTAAGAAATGTACCGCCAGTGTTTTCTTTCATTGCACTCTACTTTAAGCAATTAAGCATGTAGAAGGGGGAAACCCCGTGGGGCAGTAAGCAAAGGGGCGTCCTCGCCGCCTGCCCTAGGTAATTCAGTTTAAGCTAGCAGACACCTTTGCACAAATAATTTTAATTACAATTTATATTATCTAGAATAGCGGTCATTTCGCATGACAGCCGGGCTTTCTAGTAATAATATAATCTCACCAAGTTTTGCTGTTTAAATGTTATATACAGTATATTACAAACTGTAATATACTGTATATAACATTTCCCTTGTTATATACAGTATATTACAGTTTCTTACAACACAGTATATTCAGTTTCTTACAATAAATCCCAAATTGTAAAATGATTACAGAAATTTTGCAATTTATCTATGGATTGTACAAGGAAAATGTACATCCATGGATTGTAAAATGTACGATCCCGAAGTGTAAAATGATTACAAAAATTTTCAAATTTATCCATGGATCCTAAGATACTAGCAATATATCCGTTTATCGCACGGAGTAAGGAATTAGTAAAAAATGGAAAATTTCTTTCCTACAAAAAATGGTACGTAAGAAAATATCAAAGAAATACCAAGGGAAAAAATTAAAATTAAAAATGAATAAAATGTATGGATGTAAAAAATTTTTAATTTACTTCGCTTTAACTAAATGCAGATCATAAAATTTGGAAGATATATTAACGATATCGTGTTTCGGTTATTTTCAATATTCTGAGAATCCCCTATGTCCTAGGGCGCGCGGAGGATAATATGAAACTTTTATCTTTCAAGCAATATTCATACATAAATTATACCTGCTACTTCTAGATTCTTCCAGATTTACCAGGACGTAGTTTTTAATAATAAATGAGCATTATGCACGGTATGCACACCGCGTGTTAATTCTGAAGGTGAAAAAAAAAAGAAACATGGAATGTTAGAGAAGTTCAATTAATTTCCTAGAAAAAACAAGCACCCACACAAGAAAACTATTTGTTTTAATATTAACAATCTAAACAAGAGAAACTGATTCTTGTATCGGTTCAGAGATTTTGGATATGAATTCTTGTTTAGTACTTTCTGATATAGTTGTTTTACATTCTTAATTACCGTATTTAAAGTAATTATTCAAGTCAAAACATCTAAAATTCATGTTTTTTAAAGTGTTTTTCACTGCAATGATTCACAAATGTTAATAGGCACCAGAAACGTAGAAACAAGAAGTCATTTTTAAAATTTACTTTTTCTAATGTTCTACTTTAAAGAGTAATTCCTCTTTTTTGTTTACTTTTTAAGATACATGCTAATTTGTTTATATTAATCTTAAAAAATAGAATGGGTTTATTGCCCAAAATTAATCACTTAATATAAAAATAAAATACAACTTAAGTTTTTCGTCTTTTTTTAAAAATTACAAAGAAAAGAATGCAGAATACTTATGTATGCATGATTTCATAAAAGCCAGCGCAAATAAAAAAGTAAACGAGTTTATTACAGTAGAAAATATATTTTATTTAATTCTTTAACACCTTTCAGCCTCTCTTGTTGTTTAAATGATGTGAGGCTTTTACTCTTCTATAAATAAAACATTTTTTCTTCTTTTTTAAGAAAGAATATTTATTTTAAGTAGCAGATTTTAAACAATGATCTCTCTGCTATATATGTTTTTATTTTTTTCAGCTAACAGCAAAGAAGTTTTACAGGAAAGACATCAGTAAGTTTACTCTTATTTCCTGTTATTAAAGTGCTTTTTTTTAATGAGCCATTTTAATCGACTCTGTCACGCAACTACTGAATTAAGTTTATTTTTTAAAAGTAGTTTATTTCGTTAATCCTGAAGTTATCCATCTAAAAAAGTCTGTAAAGTTACGTATGGTGTTGTCGAAAGAATTATACTTTTTTTTGCGACATCTTTAAACCAGTAAAGGTACTTTATAATCGCTTGTTTTTAACTTTCATTCGCGCATCGATTATTTGTGGATTAATTTCTGAAATGTCGTCTTCGTGTAGTGATCATAAAGTGGATAAAAATGAGCTGGTACTTATCATAAACTAAATTTCGATAATTCAGTAGATTATTTTTTTAAAAATTTTATTTATCCATTCTCTTCTTCATTTGTTTTTACAAGAAAGCATAAATTATAAAGAAGGAATTTTTTCAGTGTTTTTAAATGGATAAAACGGATGATAAATTTATTTTTTTGTCATGGTTTGTTTGAAATTTTGTTTATATGTGTGGGGAGAATAAATTTAAAAGAAAATAATATCCACTATGTGCACTCGTGTGCAAATTTTAAAGAATTTGCACATTATGTGAAATTCCTGGAAAAACTAGGGGCAGATCTTAATGAATTTTTTATTAATATACATTTATAGCAGAGAAGGAGATATACCATTCTGAAATCATTTTATGTACGCATGACTGTCAGTAAAGCTCATAGTACAGAGATGTCTAAAATCTGCATCGTGATATAGAACTGCAGATGAGTCTAATGTGAGGCGTGATCTTCTCTCAAAGCCAGGCAAGTTGCGCAGCGTGAAGGAATACTGGACAGGAGGCAGTTGGGGAGTCCTGTGGCAGTCAATCCCACTCCTGCAACAATTTAGGCTGCCCCGTGTCGTGAACTTAATCCCATTACGGGTCCCATTGGGCACTTCGTGGAGGTTCAACCTCGACTATTACCCTTCCAACGAACCAGCGCACCACCTGGATAAGACACCAGGCAGCACCGGTCGTCAAGTTGCTCCTGCCAGTCTCATGGGCGAGCCCGTCGCAGTGGGCCGTTACCCAGCAAACCGAGGGGAACTAGCCCTCCGGCTACGGTTCACACCGCTAAGGACATGCCAGTCCCCGAGGCCGGCCAATAAGTGACCTTTCCCAGGGGCTTCAGAACCACCAAGTTCATAAATTTTATCCCCCTGGCCAAGACTGCCTAGGTACAAATCCTAGCCAGTAGCTTCGCAGAGTCCTCTACGTCGACCCCCGGGGGGATCCCACTCCTGCAGGAAGGCAGTTTTCAATTTGGGGAGGGTTCTCGGAGGAGGACAAACATAAGTTCCAGGAGGTCTGGCTGGCCAATCCATGTGCGGCGCATATCTTCTTCCAAATAACCGTCGATCAGCTGAGCCCTGTGTAGACTCGAATTCGTTCATTGATAGGAAAGCAGATCCAATTGTGCCCCTGAAAAGTCGATTACAGATTGCAGGCGTGTGTTACCGTCCAGTGTAATGCCTGCCAAAACATTATAATTCACCTCCGTATGGTACTTTTTACCTGCTGAGAGAGAGATGGTATTATATTTCAGAGTCTCCAGGTAAAGAATGCAGAGAATCCGTGTCCAGTTTGAATCTCGACTCATCTGTAGAGAACGTGATGCTCCACTGAAGTCTAGTCCAAGGCGCACATTGTCGGCTCCTTAGGGCGTTCTATTGTGTGTGACAGCGAACCGGACGCAAATACTGTCTTCTTGCCTACAATCCTTATCTGATGAAGCCTTCCGGCAAATGCACACCGTGAAAATCGATTCAACTGGCAGCATACAGTTCAAGTGACATCTGTGCAGCTATAGAAGTCCTGAGTCGCCTCGTTGAAAGTGCCAAAAACGATTCTCATATGTTGTTGTGGATCTCGATCGATGGTTTTGTTAAGCTTTTCTCGATATAGATCCATTGCTCTGAAATTGTTTCCTCAAGTTTCAGAGGATAGTGGCATTACTGTAGCCACCAGCGCCTGGAATTGGCTCTGGTTCCAACCTATCACAATTCTCCACCTCATTCCGTCATCCTTACGTTCGTGGCCACTAATGTTACCCCATACCTTATAAAATTTATCCAGCTGTTGAGAGAAACACGGCGAATGACGTGAAGAAGTGCGAGAACAAAAGACTCCAAAAACCCCTTGTTCGTTTGTTTCTCCTCCAGAATCACAGCTCTGAAAACACGCAAGTGTATTTTTACGTATTCGACTCGAATATTTGCATCATTCTTTGGCGGCATAGTTAGAACCTTTGGTTCAATACACGTCGTAAAGGTAGACATAATTTACAAATTCTCTTAATTTTGCACTCGAATGTAGTTAGATTTCATATCGATACTGAAATGGTATGCAATGCTCAAATGTTTTTCTCTCTCCTAACACGAATCTAGGCTTAACCTTTTGAAGACGGGATGGCCACTATAGTGGCCATAGAGTCCAATCTTTGAAAAGACGGGGTTGTCCACTTTAGTGGCCATGTCTTTTCCTCCATTTTCCAGGCTGAAATGTGGGGTGAAATGTCAAATTTGACGTCCCTAGGGTTTTAACCACTTATCTCTTTCAAAGGTCTTCCTTTTGCGACATAGATGCACCCCTCTGAGAATCCATTAAACTACACACAAGAATCTTTGTTGCAAATAGGAGGTGATTTCTTAAAGGAGGGAAAGCATTTGGTTCAAGATTCCCCGTCCTTTGGTAGCTTTTACTGCTACCAACGCCCCGGCCTCAAACGGTTAATGATAGTTCATTTGCATTGAAAACTTTATTAAAGTGAAATACATTTTAGGTGTTTTAAATTACTTAAATTTGAAGTTTAATGACATATTACATTTAAAGTATACCAAATATTTTCATTACAGCCAAATGATTCGGTTAGGTTTAGTTGAGAATAGGGATACCTCATGGGGGAAATTTAAGGCAGACTGGCTCGTAGTTACCGTACACTTGAGCCTCGGTTCCACGAAAGCCTCGGTTTGCTGTTCGAACCCAAGCCTCAGTTAGCCTCGGTTCGAACACAAGCCGAAATACCAACATTCAGTACTTTTTAACCGCTTATTCACTTCCTAGCAAAATGCATGCAGTACCTGAGGTTAAGCAGTGACAAAATGTGCAAGGAATTGGTATACAGGATTTCCATATTTACAGGATGTTTCTATTTTGTTTTCTTCTAACTTTTTCTCCTTCATCTTGTTTTTCTTTTAATATGAATAAAATATTTTTATTGATATAAAGCATTTAGAATTTGTAGCTTTTTAATTTTCATCGGCATGCTTGTGTACTAATTAACCAGGGTAAAACGATCTTCGTTAGCATATCGTCAGAATATTCAAATATGTCTAGTAAAAGCGTTAGACTTAAAAGGTACGTTTGTGGAAATCCAAGTATACTCTTTTATCAGTTGATTTATGAGTTGCTAGAATTTATGACATTCCTGAAAATTAAGATTTTTGGATTTATTTATTTTCTTCTCTGTTTCTTGTACATAATAAAAAGGGAACTAAATAAAGGAATGAAAACAAGTAGTAAAACAAAAAAGTCCATTCTCGAAACTGTAGTCCATTCTCCTATTCAGACATATATGCGTAGATACGAAACGTGCCCCTGGTTTTGCGTGCTTTTTGACATTTCCCAGGAAAAGTAATGGCATAAACATCTTAATTACTCATAATGTAACTACGTTCTCATCGTCAATTTTGAAGAAATTTTTCAAAAAAATTTTATTACTTTAATTTAAAGCTTATAATTTTAGCTTCTAAAAACTATTTTAGTTTTGTCTCTCCGATGATTAGAAGTAGAGTTATTGCTTTTTTTGTTCTACACCATGAACCGGAAGTTGCTGTTTAAATGGCCGGAAGTTGATATTTAAGGGACACAGACTGCTCTAAACAAGAATATTTATTTGAATACTGTTGGCGATATTCAAAAGATGATTTTGAAATATATGTATTATTATTATGTGCTTGGAAGCTAGATTACTTTCGAAATTTCAGTATCATAATTGGCAAAATTTCCGTTTGTCTTTACATTCGATTTGATTACACTCTGATTTCGCGTGCTTGCTGTTATTCAGTATTATTTTTTTATCTCATTCTGCTTTGTTATTTTAACATTGCGATAAAAATATTTTCAGTTTATTATTGTAAACGTCGTAATGGGTCGGCGTGGAACTTTTCGTTCTAAAAAAACGGCGATTTGCTGGAAACAGATATACTGTGAAAGATTCTGCCAGTGAATTGAAACTAGGAAACAATAAAACATTTTCTGAAAATTATAATGAAGCTAATAATGCTGCTGGTAATAGAATATTCGATGTTGAAATTCTAAAATCTGTATTTTCTGCATTATCCTGTCCAATGTTTTTTCGAAACTCAAAACAATGAGAGTTTTAATAACGTATTATACCAAAACAAGTGTTTCTTGAGTTGGCAACATTGTGTCTTGGTTCCTATATAGGAGTAACGCAGTTTAATAATGGATTTTTGGGTATGTTAAAAATATTGGCAAAACTTAATATGAAACATGGATAATATACTGTGAAGGAATATAACTGCAATGATAAAACTCTGATTGTCAATTCAAAACGGCATTCTTTACATTTCTTAAAAATCAAAAGAAAAAAATTAAGAGCTTCTTTAAAAAAATTAAGAGCTTCTTTAAAGAAACAATCTTCTAAAATTGAGTTAACAGATGGTGTAATATACAAAACAGGGCAGTTTTAGCAATGTAATATATCAATTTCTAATATATTTTCTAAAGATAAAACTTTCAATTTGTTTTTTGAAAAACTTATTTTCGTCAACATTTCTAATACGAAAAACACCGTAACTTAAAATATTACTATAGCAATTTTATGATACTTCCCACAAACATTCTATAGAATATTGGGAATTAAATGGACTAAAAGGTTAGGTTTATATACACATTTAAGATTTTTGCAGACAATTTTGTAAATGAAGAGAGAAAAATTTCTCGAAAAATAGCTAGTGTATGTACTCAAACAGGTACATTTAATAAACATTTAACTTTATGACATAGATTTTAGTCCATTTAATTGCTCATGCTTTAATAAATGTAAGTGAAAAATAAAAGTAAAATATTGATAAATAATTTTGAGGAAACTAATCTCGTGATACTGAAATTTGAATACATTTTTTGATCCAAAATGTGAGAAAAAAGTAAAAATTACACTTTAATTTAAAGGTATAGTAATATGTTCATAAATTGCTTTTATCATTTTAGGTAGCATTCTGCTACTTAACACCAAAAATGAGTTTATTTATACACTTTTTCAAAATTAGGGTATCGAACGTAGTCGGATACCTCAAGAGAGAAGAGAAATATTCCAAAGTGAAGCTTAAAGTTAGGCAAAATAGTAGTCTTGCGTTTAGCGTAGATTTTAATTAAAATTATATCGATTTCGAAGGCAAACAAGAACTTGCTGTCTAATTTCCTACTGTTGTTTCTAAAATCCATGGTAGATAATAATATAACAATCGGGGCACCTCATGAATTCTAGTTAATGGTAAGGGAAGATCTGTCAAAGGCCAAGGTCTTGGGCACACAGTTGGTGACATAGGATCCAAATTTTGACCGAGAACATCTCAAGAGACAGAATCTGAGCGTCTCTAACCCTTCTCCAGCCATCAACCTCATAGCAGACTCGTACCTTCATGTCAAAAAGCTCTTGACAAAACAACTATACTTTCATCGGATCCCACCTCGCAGCTAACTAATCCTATGAACCATCTTCGTTATCCACCTTATTGATGAAGGCAGCATACAATTTTATATCGTAATAAATATTTTAATATACTTTCTGCCGTGAAATATATGTCTTTATGTCAAACATATGTAATCATGTCTTAGCATTTTATCACAATTTTCGTGAAAAGTATTTTTTTTAAAATCCAAATGCAATTTATTAACGTATTACTTATTATCAGAAACCTTCTCCATATCATCATATTTAATATTTTATAAGATTCTTTGTGCATTTTCCATGCGAAAATTAAAATTACTCTCTTTTCTTTTATTTTTAGTCCTGAAAATGGCGACAGAGCAGCAGACTGTACACCCCTTGGAGCATCTCCTTTGTTGTCTGGGCATCGGCAAGACGACAGTCCATTGCTGCGAAAGAAATGCCCTGGTTAGTTATATTAAAAACATTAGACTATTTATTAGGCTCAAAATCATTCAATAATTGAATCCTCATATCATTAAAAGCAAACATAAAAATAATTAGGTTCGCTTTTAGCACTTTTTACTTCCTTGTATAAAGTAAAGTAAATATTTTCATTGCGAAAAATTTCGGATATCATGTTTCAACAAATTGCATTTTGATCACTCTCAGATCCATTTGAATGGTTTTTTCGCGTGACATCTATACGTACGGACAAAATAAAGGTTTATTTTTTTTTCAAAACGGATTGTAAAGTAGATTAAAAATGGATTCAGAAGAGTTTTTTTTCCCCTTCAGACATCGCGAAAAAGTCTCTAAGTACATATATTTGTATCTCACGTAACTCCAAAACGAGTAGCCTTAGAATGTTGACATCTTCTGTATGGTACTACAATACCATGTAGTTGTGCATCTTACTGTTTCCTTGCAATCGGCCTCACGAGACGCATATCTTGTCTCGGTGATCTCAGTACTTCTATTCTTATATATTGGTAAAATGCGCATTTTTTGTTTTAAAAGTTGTTGAATTATGTTGATCTTATGTTGTGATGAAGGATTTTATGCCTTTTTGCTTTTAACCCTTTCGCCGTCCTCTGTCCGCGAAAATTTCCCCCCAGCGGCCGTCTGTTTTTCGCAGCGTGTAATGTTGTTTTTCTCTGTACATCATAATGAATGTCAATGAATATTAAGTAAAATTATGAGTAAATAAAGCATAATGAAAAATTAATAATATCTCTGCTTATTTCGAACAGCAGAATAATTTGATAACATCTGATCCAGACGGTCCACTCCTCCCATTTTGCTGTTGTAATCTTTTACAATTATTGTTTTTTTTTACAGTTCTTTTCCGTGTTCCAACATCAATCATCGAGTTATTATGACTCTCCTCATCAAACGTATATCTTTCTTGTCTTTCCAATTCACAACCTTATTTTTTCTCTTTTTCTGCTGAGTAGACGTTGAAGCCATCTCTCACTGTCTTGTATCTGATGTAAAATGGCGTGAATATTCATAAAACCCGGGGCATATTCAATTAGAAATAGAATGCCTGAGTAGTGCTGCCCTCTAGGAGGTATTATAACAAAAAAATAAAACAAAATCAAACAAGTAAACATTTAGAAAGCGTTTTAAACGTTTAAAAGTTTTAAAATGTATAGAAGAACTCCTGCATATATTAGTAAATATTGTAGTATTCCTGTCAGTTGGTATTTTGTAGTATATCTTGCAGTATTTATGACAGATTTCAAACTTCTGGGCATAGAGTTTATTGTTTTTGTAATATCTGCATCAATAGTCCTCCTTTCTTCTATCATTACTGCTTTCTGTTCGGTTTTTGTTTTAATATTGTGTCTTCGTATTCTAACCTTTGATGTTCTCCAAATGTGTTCTGTTTTGTTTAAACCTGATTACTGAGGTGGTGTTTTCAGAACTTGTGGACAATTATAAGACACCCAAAATGCAAATGTTGAGGGTCGTGTGCTTAGGATTGTTATCCTGATAAAAAAAAAAAATAACGTTGTTTCCAGTGCCCATATTTTTGGCGAATAATTTAAAATTATCTTTTGAAATACGTAAATAAAGAGCATGGTTCATTATGCCAGCAATAAATACTTAAATTATTTAATCCTGATGCTGACAAGCATCCCCCCTCGCATAGGAACATATCCACCGCCTTGCTTTCCTGTTGCATGCAAGGTCTTGGTATCAGATCCTTATTTTTTTATATGCCAATCGGAAGTAAAAATGTTAAATTTGCTTTATCTGCAAATAAGCCATGATTCCAATCCGCTTCGGGCTTATTTACCATTTATTTTAAGAAGAAAAGCCTAAGCTTTCTATTTTTTGTACTTCCAAAAATTTTTCTTCCAGCAGACTGCCCATGTAATCTAGCTGATCTGTGTACTCGTCGAACAGTTTCAAGTGAAATTGAAGTGGAAAAAATTTTAGGAAATTTTGTAGAAATCTTTACAACACTCAAACGTGGATTTTTTACTGATTTTCTATCTACAAATCTCTGATCACGTTGAATCACGTCGAGTCCCACTTTGCCGGATAACCTCTTCTTACTTTAATTTAGATCGGATTTACGTCTTTAAAGCATTTTATCACATACTACACCATAGAATGGGATAAATTTGCTAATTTAGCGATATCTCAAATCGAATTACCATCCTTATGATAAAAATGAACAATTTTCGAAGGCTGTTCGTTGTTTCCTTACAACTAAGAGACTTTTTTAAACATTAACTCTTTCTCATCGAGAGAGGGCAAAATCTCTATTCCCTAAACATCGAAAACGCCCGTATCTAAGAATTTCTCCTGGAATGCTTGTCCTTCCCCCATGACAAGTTGAATACTACCGCGCTAACAATAGCCTTACTTAAGTAAGCGAGAACTTCTTTCTTGGACGCTTTCATACTGTGTGAAGTTCCCCCTTGCGACGGGAATGCAACTTCGGGCATCAAAAGCTAAACACTGACAGTAAACAAAGGAAAGAGAAGGTGCCATTAAAATAATATAACTACTTTTAGTACTTTCAAAAGAATTATTGACATGTGATTAAACAACACCTGAAAGCAATGATTAATGCAGTAACGTGATGGGGAAAGCACTGGGTAGGAAATTATTCAGGCGTTTCGGGCGTCCAGCCGATGTCTGAATGCTCGGGCGTTTGGGACGTTTTCGTTGCGAAAGAGTTAAATAAAATATACCAAAGTACGCAAGCGAGAAAAAAAAGCTAAGCAATGTTTTGAACACCACAAAAATGCAAAAATAGAAAAAAGGAGTAGACGATAATTTTATTTATGAAATTTTACGAAAATGTTTCGTGTACGTTCATTTTTGTGGCTTCTTTTATCTATGCCTCCTTATATTTTCAATTTTATAGCAAGAAAATAAGTTTAGTATTAAAAATTTAAAAAAAGTTTCGTTTTATTCAAAATCACATGGAGATAATATGAAGAAATATTGGACTTTATATCCGAATTCAATTCCGAGTTTCAGTGCTTTTTGTATAAATTCTTAAAGTTTGCGAACACTTTTGTGACACGATTGTCAACGAGAATTTTAAAGTTTCACCAGCGAAAATACTAAAGATCATTCTGAATGAAATAAAAGATTAACCTAATTAAAAATAACAGAATGATATCCTGAGCAAGCTCTCATTCTTGCAGCGTAAGAACCCGATATCTTAAAAAAAAGTTCAGTTATTAATTCTATAGGAACACAACGCATCATCCCGCATAGACAAAGCAGGATTTCAATAACAGATCGATGCATTCAACCAGGGTTTTGATTGAAATGGCTGCAATTACTGTTCAGGGTTAGAAATCAGGCAACTGTCATTACGTCTCTGTAATTGCAGTAATACACAATACATAAAGGCATAATTGTTAAACATCGATATTTCAGTTATATTGGATTCTAGCTTGTCATATCTGAGCTAAACTAAGCTTTGTTAAACAGCTTCATTCAGCATATTTTAGTCGACGTGATTGTTATGAATGTATATTGGAACATTTATTAAATATTTGGAATTAATATTATAGCGTTTATTAAGTATTTATATCAAATTTTCTGTCGCCTCCTCTTTTCAGATATGTTTTTATCTCGGGAAGATCCATATGCAGTAATGGAATTATCGTAATATGCAGGGTGTTTATAAAGTCCCGGACCCATTTTGATGTTTAATAACTCAAAAAATTATAAAGATATATTAAAATTAATAACATAAATGGTTAGACAGATTAAAAAAGTTTCATGACCCTTGTTAATGAACTTCCACGTGTGCCTTCCTCGTCGCACGGAGAATATCAAGTCGATATTCAATTTCACGCCAGGTACCGGCAAGCATGTCGGCATCCACATTTTTTTCATTCTGGCTTTTAGGTCATCCATGTTCACAGGTTTTCATTCTGGCTTTTAGGTCATCCATGTTCGACACTCTCTTCCTGTAAACGTTGTCCTTTACAAATCCCCAAAGGAAAAAGTCCAGCGGCGTTATATCAGGTGATCTGGGTGGCCAAGGAATTGGACCTCCTCGCCCAATGCATCTTCCTGTAAAATGGTCATTCAAAGAACTACCAACGATGGTACCCGTATGAGGTGGTGCACCATCTTGTTGCGAAAAGACATAAGGCTGAAGCTCTTCTAGTTGTGGAAATACGAAGTTGTCCAACATGTCTAAGTATACAACCGACGAGACCGTCTTTTCTGTAAAAAAGAAAGGCCCAATGACTCGGTCGTGCATTAGTCCACACCACACATTAACCTTTGGGGAGGAATCCCTTTGTGTCTCACGGTAATCATGGTGGCTTTTAGATCCCCATATGCGCACATTATGGCATATTAACAGAGAGAAAAAGGCAATAAATAAGCAGACGATGTCTGGAAAAGTACATACGTTTAGACTGGAAAATGAAATTATCTGAAATTAACCACAGGCGCAGAAGATATTTACAAAAGTAAATATATTCAAACCTGAAAAGGAAAATATTTAAGCTATTCTATCAATAAATGCCATAAGTTTGTTTATATCTTCCTTATTTTATGAGTTATTAAGCATCAAAATGGGTCCGGAACTTTATAAACACCCTGTATATAACAGGGTCAAATCTCAAGTGCAAAATACTGATAATTCACTCGTTCAAAAATGAAACACATATCGAAACTGTTGACTTGACTAGCTGATAAGCGCCCGCAAGTGTTTTTTGTTTGTTTGTTTGTTTTTTCTCCCCCAGTAGCGGGTACTTGCCTATAACGGCATCGGCCGCTACTAAGACCAGAAGCGGCGACCATTTTACTGTGGAGGCAACCTAACAGGCAGTTACCATAACCTCATATGAAAAGACAGACTATTCTACATGCATGCATTCTCCGGGATTCGAACCCGAGCCTTTTGGTATCGCAGTCAGGTTTCTCTAACCACCTAGCCACTATACCACGTGGGCGACCAACCGCAAATAAAT